CAGCTGCCAACCAGCCGCCGCCGGTGATCCAACGATCTCCTCTGCCGGCAGGACTGCGGTTTCGCCGTCGCCGGCTCTCCACCAGCGAGCCGCGGGAGGGGCCACCCGGTGGGTTTGTTACCTCTCTATTCCGCGACTCTCTCTCACGTTCCAGCTCTCGCCCAGTGCAACGCCGCGAATCGAATTGTCGCGATTGTTAGTTGAGCGAATTCGCTCCTAAATGTTATACACTCGCCGCGTATGATAGTTGAGCGATTACGCTCCTAGTCGCCGCCTGCTGTCGCGTTTGGAGGATTGAGCGAACGCGCTCACCACCTTTGTACTTATATTCGTAGATGTACTTTCGTTGGCGTAAATAAAAGGGATCGCCTCTTTGTACTCATACCGATTCTTTCTGTTCACCTTTCCCGTCATCGCGATAGGTTCGCTCCCGTGGAAGTCAGCGCCGGCTTCCTTCACCGGAAAAGGACCCTTCATTAATTCGCAGGGGGCATAGCAGTGGCGCACTAGGCTATGTTTCGAACATAAATCCCCCCCTTTTACATATGTATAATAAATATGGTAAATGAAAATAAATTTCTATTTTAATGTTGATTGTAATATATAAATATATTCATATATAAAAAGATATAAATTTACTAGAAAATTATTTGATAATATTAGTTATTTATGCACGTTGGACTGTAGCACGTTGTATTACGTCGAGGGACACTGAGAAGTGGAGGGGGCAGTGGAGAATTCGAGGCTGTGCAGCCTCGGATTCTCCACTGCCCCCTCCACTTCTCAGTGTCCCTCGACGTAATACAACGTGCTACAGTCCAAACTGCATTAACAATTTTTTAATTTTGGCGCCCGTAAGCCGATTTTTAACCCTAACCCGGTTATAATTAGAATTGATGTAATTATGGGAAACATTTAGGTTATCACTTGCTGAATCAACATTTTCCTTGTTTGCATTAAACATTTTCGTTAAATCCATTTTAAATCAATTTTCACTACGACTGACGTAACTCTTCAATACTTCACTATCCCCTTTGACCCTCCTCCTCCCCTCTCTAACATTTTCTAAGGCATGCATTATACTTTTTTCATAGTACAGAAAACTGCCACGTAGAGGGCTCTACTCGTCCTGCGACATAACAGCTGCTGTAATGTTGAGGGGCCAGGCTCCTGGACTATAATGGCTATTATAGTCCAGGACGCTAGACTATCATGAGTCATTATAGTCCAAGAGCCTCCTCCGCTATACTAGACTACTTTCTACACTGAGCATGCTCTACACGTAAAAAGCTGCTTACGGGCGCCTAAACTGAGAAGTACAGTCAAACCTCTGCTACTGCACCCTCCGCAACTGCCCGACCTCTGCCACTGCCCGTTACCTAGCCTCTCTAACTGCCCGATTTATGACTCGAGCGCAGTGTCGTACGCTCTCGGTCGCTTACCTGGCACCTGCCGGCGGCGCACTTTTATGGGTCTGACGCCGACGCGTCGCTCTTATATCTTGCATATCTTCAAGTATAAGATGACTCCTTGTAATTTGTGACTTATGATTTACACTCCTTGTAATTTATGACTCTTGTAATTTGTGGGGGGGGGGGGGGGGATATGTACCTAAATTTGTAACATTTTCTCCGGGCCCCCCTCGAGACCAGCGCGGCACGCCACTCAATACCCGTACCTGACGGAGCGCTCTTATTGGCTAATGCCAGAGAGCCCGTAGCGGGCAGTGGCGGAGGGCACCAACTCCCGAAAACGTGCAGTAGCAGAGGTCCGACTGTATATTATTTCATTAATCGTGTAATTTATGATTCTGGTTCAAAGAATCGACTTTGTAAGTCATCAGTGGTCTAATAGTAGTTTCTCTTCTATACAGAAGATCAAGGGTTCGAATTCCGGTATATACGCTGAAATTAGAAATCAAGAGGAAAGTTCGAATACACTTTATTGTAACTTGACTGAGCTACGATCTGTTCATTTTAGCCTATAATAATTTAATTACGAGAAAAATCAGCCTGAAGAGGTCAGCAAATGTGCTGACGAAACGTTGCTGAATATAATTAAAATTAAGTAATTTTCCATCTATCACTATTTCCTTTCTTTCCATCATTACAAAATTTATCATTCAAAAAATCATAAGGGAATCAAGACAATATTAGAAAGTTTAGAAAAGTTCGTTTAGAAAGTTCGAATAGCTTTTCATTTATTTTTATAATTTTTATTAAGGTTAGTTGGAGATGAATACTTATTCAATAATAATAATTTTACATTGATTTTCGATCTAATCAATTTGAATAATTTTTAATAATCTTGCTTCTTAATACGATTTCAATCGATTTTAATTGGATCATATGGGATTAAGATTCATTATTGAATATTATTGAAAACTGTTCTAATTTTTTCCAATAATTTTCAATAACACATTTTTAGCAGTGAAATAAAAATATTTTCCGCATATTGACAAAAAATTCATCTTGTGAACTTTGGTAGCAGTAGGGTTATTGAGTTTTGAAAAAAGTTTATCAATTTTATTTAAATATTAATAACTTTTAATCGATTGTTTTTTTTATTAAGCTTGATTAAACTGTTTATTTGGATGGTACTAACAAATGTGCAAAGTTTAAAAAAAATGGTCTATGTCCAGCTTGAAATATCCAAGACTGTACCATCTATACAATTAGGAAAATTTATTGAATATTAGGTAGAAAATCAAAACATTCAATTAATTATAAACTATGAATTTATTAGTGCATAATTAAACCAATATGCATTTGTGAAATCCAACTATAGGGCACAGCACCAAAATCAAACATTGATATTATTGAAAATGTTCAAAATAAAGACTTAAAATCCATCCTATATATAGAGTCATTAATTACAAATGAGATAATTGAAAGACATCAAGATGACAACTATATAAAAAGAAATAGATTTTATGTGCAGAATATACACAAATAGAATATCTGAATATTCAAATTGTCAAGCAAAGAATTTGCTTCAGGCAACATAAAGTCTTTCAAAATTCTTGAAATATAAAACACTTTTTATACAGACCTAATATTAGTAATTTTATCATTTTATTTATAAGCATAATATAAATTGTAATTATACATTAAGGATAATTGTAGAAGTACCTTCATTTACAGTTTTATCACTAATTGTATATTATAAAATTTATTTATTGTCGCTTTTGTAAATTTGTTGTAAATAATGATGGTTGAAAAAACAATTCTTGCTAAGAAATATTCACTAGATACTATATCCTGTATGTATCTTAATAGTAATACAGTCTCTTCATTAAACTTATGTTATGTATATGTTTAATAAAATGCATTTTTTAATAAATAGCAAAAATAAAATATTTTCATTTTATACAAAAAACAGATTGGAGTGTATAATAATTGAACGTGTATTTTGTACAAATGTTATATGAAGTATGTTCAAATTATATAAAAAATTTAGCATATATTTTTCAGAAAAATTTAAGGACTTGGAAATTTGTAGAAATTTAATATAAAATTTATTTTATATTAAATTCCTTATTATTTATTATTTAATATAAAATTTATAATATTATTATAAATTTATTTAATATTCTTTAATTATTATTATAATTATTATTTAATATCATTTAATATAAAATTTATTTTATATTAAATTATTGAATTATTGAATTTTATATGAACTTTGAAGACTTTGTTGTACAAATTATGCACAAAAATATTCTTATTAAAAAACATGAACTAAATACTTGATCCAAACAATAAAATCAGATGTCATAGTGAGTCAATTGATATTTATTAGATGACTACGTTATAAATATAAATATGTTATCTTATATTGTAGCTGACTCTTTATAACACTCATTACAAAACTCATGTTCAACATACATATTGCTGTCATGAAAAATAAAAACTTAAATATTTATAGTTTGGTGTTTAGTATATGATGTAAGGTATTATTATGTGTAATGATAATCCATCAATTTCAAAAGTCACTTCCAAAATTATTAAAACAACTTCAAATTTATATAGTAAATGGTTATCTAGTTTAGATTCATGAACCTTATCAAAACTATAAATACTAATTTTCTTTCAATCTTAACATTTCAATTTTACTATAATAAAATAATGTTTGAAATTATAATATAATAAAGTTTGGAATAATATAATATAATGTTAAATATTCTATATTAAATAAGTTTACATTATTGTTAACAGTTTACCTAAATTTTACTACATAAATTTTGTAAAAGAATTATTACATAATCTAAAATAACAAAGATTTATTTTTATTAGATTAATTCATTGAAATATATTGTTTGATATAAACTGATTCAATAATATAAATAAATTAAATATAGCTATGAACAATTGTTTTAATAATAAAAGGTTTATCATTAAAAGTTATATATAAAATTTTAAAATTTTAATTATAAATTATATATTTCACATATAACAATGAAAAATAATATTAAATTAAAAATTACATTCAAGATAGATCATGGTTTAGATTAATATTAAGAAATATTCTATGTAATTGTAACTGAATATCAATAAACTATATTGTTGCACATGTCATTAGGGATCATTAAACAAAGATTTGTAAATAAAATGCTTTTGAATGAATATTTCCTCATCAATATTTATGCATTATACTATTTTAATCAGCTGTTTATTTGTAGTTGCCAAGGTAAATATCTTAAATAAACTTCAAATAATTATTCACGATCATATAAATGTAACTTGTCATTTATATCATTGTTTTAACATTGTATTATCAGTAATATATTCTAAAAATATGGTATCTTATAAAGTCATGTTATAAATTATAATAAAATAAATTATTATTCAAGTAGACTATAGATTTCACTAATATATTTTTACTACATAAAGCTTCAAAAACATAAACATCACAATTAAAATTATCTTACAATAGTAACAAAAAAAAGCAAAAAGTTAAAAAGTTTATCACTAGTGGAAAGGAAGAGGATGTAGTATTACCTGAGTGAAGGCAAGAAGTTGAGTATCGCAATGGTCCAAGTACTAAGTATTGAATAACATATTAAAAGCCTAGGGTAAATAGGTATGCGCAGAGTCATTGATACTTCATGAAGCTGAAGAGTAAGCAAAGATTAATTGATAAATCTTTGTGGTTACTTTTGTGCCTTGATGTAAATACACACCTAGGTATAATGTAACAGAGCGATTCAGCAAGACATGATTAAGAGAGATAGTAAAGATGACCAATGATGCTGAATAGTAAGTTTTTACAAAACGTAGACCTGTTTCAGCATTTTACACTATGTTCACACTTACGAGCTTCGACCTTTGCATTCATAAATATAGTAAAACTTACGGGTCGATGCAACCAACAACTCATTTTATGTACTGCAATGGATCTTTCAGGACGCCTGAACAAGAGAGAAGCAGAGACAGAGAGAAGCAGAAAAAAAAGAGAGAGGGAGAGGGGAGAGACAGAGAGAGAGGGAGAGAGAGAGAGAGAAAGAGAAAGAAGTGGGGAGTAAGTAACAGAAAGTAAGAGTTTGAAAGAGTAAGAGAGAGAGAGAGAGAGAGAGAGAGAGAGAGAGAGAGAGAGAGAGAGAGAGAGAGAGAGAGAGATCAAGGGATGGAAAGAGAGAAAGAGAGTAAATAAAAGAAACAAAGAGAGAAATTTCTGCTCCAGCCTGTTGTATGAAGAAGTCAAAAGATTTGTCGTATAGCTCTACTGTAGGTGTTGTTCGTGTCAGGTCGGCGCTCCCTAAGAGATCACTGCCCTCTCATATCCGAACACCCAACTCCCTCTCTGTCTCTTTCACTTGCAAGTACAACATATATAGCAAGCAGGCAGATTTTTATCTCCTGCACCGTTTCCTTCTTCACTTTTTCTGCTCTCTATTCTTATAAGCCTTTTCTTATAATAATGAAACAAGTACACATTTCTGCACTATTATTAGATTTTCAAAATTATTATCGCTCTATATTTTGGCTCTTACTTTCACTTGAAGATGATCACTCGAAAACATGCCAAATATCAATAGTACTTCTCGTATCACTGTAAGTCTACTGATTTCTCCTCTGACTATCCTATCTCCCAACTGGATCTCGCGACAGCATCGCATCGACTCTCATTTCCCCTTCTGCCATTCTCTCTACATCACACACACACACACACATACACATACCAGACGCGCACACATAATAAATACTCTCTCCCGTTCGCTCACTCATTCGCTCTATTTTTGGGCTATGAAGATGACTTTCTGTGAACCATCAATTCAGTAGCTTTAATAAAGGCTGAACTTGATCCCTTAAAATAACCTAACGTAAGAAGTGACGTCGGATTAAATTAATAATCCTTAAACAATACTGGGAAACTGTTAAAAGCATCGATAGCACTTTCGTTTCGTCAATTTTCTTTCGTTATATACAAGAAATTGTTAACGTATGTGTATTTGCATTAATAATATGGAATACTTTAATACATGTATAAACTTCTTATGCATACTAAATACGATGCAAGAACATCATCATGGAAAATACAAAATTTATTAAAACTGAGGGTTTTTATAATGCAGACACGAGATTAGAAAATAATTGAAATATAAATAGTGTCAGTTGTAAATTAAGTCTAATAGTATTTACAGCAATGATAAATTTATTTATCCAATATTCTTATCAAACACCCCTTCCACTTCAGTAAAACCATCAACGAAGATAAAACTATCTATGCATATCAAAAGAGAAAAAAGCTGACAGTTGCGTATTTTATTTGTAACAATATGACTAGGAGTGACAATAATTTAAGATAAATTGAATTTTGGCCTTGAATCTGACCCTGTACTCTATGCGCTGATCTTTTAGATTTTTCATAAAAATTTCGAACCATTACCTGTACATTTGATGGTAACTGATCGGAAGCTGGTTAATTTTATTAAAAACATATGAACGGTCTAAACGCACTCTTCGTATAAGACAACAAATACAATACACATCGACTCGAGTAAATGAGCGCCATGCGCACTAATGCGCATGTTGGTTAACATTACTGCTAAATGCGATATGAAATATCAGAATTTGTGCAAAAGTTGCGACTACCAATCTGCAATAAAATAATTTATAAAATGCTTATTTAAACTGACATTGAATAGAGAAATTGAAATGCTAAAAAATGTTATACGATTTTTTCGTAAGCAATAATAAATTGTTAAATTGTTACCATTTCAAATCATTTATGCCATTAGTAAATATAAAATAAATGACTTTGACATAAGGCAGGAAAGAACGCATTAGAGCTGAGCGTAGCGCACGTCCACTTTATCATTTCGTGATCGTTCCTCTGAACCACATGGTAGATAAGAGTCTTATACAATAAACTTTCTTCATATGACAAGGTATCAGTGTGAATGAGTCTGATATAGGCAAACCCAACTATTCTATCTCGTTTGCACTTGCTTGCTCTTGTGTGAGAACTAATATACCAAATCGATCCGGCTTTATTAGTTAACTTAAAACAGTTAAGTCAGAGATTACAATTCAATATTTTCATTATAACAAGAAGGGTAGGTAGAGCTTGAAGTCGACGTGTTTTCGTTTACGGAGTACGTTAACGTTTATGGTCGTTCGTAATTAACTGTATCATGTTGGCATCTATTTCCGTAAGATGCTAATCGTTATATATACTATTGCCGGTCTTTAATTACGTCATCATATATTATGGAAAATATTATATCTTACTCTTGAATCTTTGTCTTGAACTTTAAAGTTCGGACATTAGAGCTGTCAGCATACAAGTCATTTTTATATAATTACGTTGGATCTTGGAAAACAAGTTCAACATAAGAAATAGGGTGCAAAAACATCTTTCAAGATCTATACGAAATAGTAACAAAAAGCTCGAGTAGACAGAGTCTCGTACTAAGATAAATTTTTGTAAAACCATACTAATAGGCATATGTTAACAACAACAATAATTTTAATCAATAATCAATGCTATATAATAGTATTCAAAAGTATGATTCAAAGACTGTACGCAAAACTATAGTCTGTCCCATCACTTCTAAAATATACTTTTAGGAGTGACTATATCCACACACACACATCAATGCTTTGTCTATGTATCGTACTTTATCCGCTTGAAAGTACCAACGTGGCAATACCGCAGCACTGTATATGGGTAATTCTTGGCTATTTCGATTGACTTGTAACCCTTAGGTTACGGATTTTTTTTTAATTTGGCACAATTGTTGTACACATAAAACTGAGATTTTTCCCAAATTTTGGAGACGATACATTAATTCTATCAAAAGTTATTAACAATTAAAGAAAAATGATAAAAAATTTTCAAACGGCTATATTTTAAAAACTAATAAAGATATCGAGGTCGGATTTTTTTCAAAATACTTATAATGCCTTAAAATTTCGAAATAATTACAACAATAAACAATAAACAATTTTTTTCGAAAGTTATTAACTTTTTGTTTAAACAATTGCTAATATCTCAAAAAGTATATATTTTTTTTGAAAAATTCTTGTTCCTACGTATTCCTGAGGATTTTTGCTATCGAAATCAATCATAAAATTCAAGGGCCCGACATATCGGAAAGCGTGGCCCTAATCAAAAGAAGACGCCTCGGCGTAAGGCTGCGGTAGCGCTCCAGCGGACTCACGGTCGAAAGGTACTTTAGCTTTAATCTAAAAAACTAATAAAGATATCGAAGTCGGATTTTTTTCAAAATACTTATAATGCCTTAAAATTTCGAAATAATTACAACAATAAACAATAAAAAATTTTTTTCGAAAGTTATTAACTTTTGGTTTAAACAATTGCTAATATCTCAAAAAGTATTTTTTTTTTGAAAAATTCTTGCTCCGACGTATTCCTGAGGATTTTTGCTATCGAAATCAATCATAAAATTCAAGGGCCCGACATATCGGAAAGCGTAGCCCTAATCAAAAGAAGACGCCTCGGCGTAAGGCTGCGGTAGCGCTCCAGCGGACTCACGGTCGAAAGGTACTTTAGCTTTAATCTAAAAAACTAATAAAGATATCGAAGTCGGATTTTTTTCAAAATAGTTATAATGCCTTAAAATTTCGAAATAATTACAACAATAAACAATAAAAAATTTTTTTCGAAAGTTATTAACTTTTTGTTTAAACAATTGCTAATATCTCATAAAGTATATATTTTTTTTGAAAAATTCTTGTTCCTACGTATTCCTGAGGATTTTTGCTATCGAAATCAATCATAAAATTCAAGGGCCCGACATATCGGAAAGCGTAGCCCTAATCAAAAGAAGACGCCTCGGCGTAAGGCTGCGGTAGCGCTCCAGCGGACTCACGGTCGAAAGGTACTTTAGCTTTAATCTAAAAAACTAATAAAGATATCGAAGTCGGATTTTTTTCAAAATACTTATAATGCCTTAAAATTTCGAAATAATTACAACAATAAACAATAAACAATTTTTTTCGAAAGTTATTAACTTTTTGTTTAAACAATTGCTAATATCTCAAAAAGTATTTTTTTTTGAAAAATTCTTGCTCCTACGTATTCCTGAGGATTTTTGCTATCGAAATCAATCATAAAATTCAAGGGCCCGACATATCGGAAAGCGTAGCCCTAATCAAAAGAAGACGCCTCGGCGTAAGGCTGCGGTACCGCTCCAGCGGACTCACGGTCGAAAGGTACTTTAGCTTTAATCTAAAAAACTAATAAAGATATCGAAGTCGGATTTTTTTCAAAATAGTTATAATGCCTTAAAATTTCGAAATAATTACAACAATAAACAATAAAAAATTTTTTTCGAAAGTTATTAACTTTTTGTTTAAACAATTGCTAATATCTCAAAAAGTATATTTTTTTTTTGAAAAATTCTTGTTCCTACGTATTCCTGAGGATTTTTGCTATCGAAATCAATCATAAAATTCAAGGGCCCGACATATCGGAAAGCGTAGCCCTAATCAAAAGAAGACGCCTCGGCGTAAGGCTGCGGTAGCGCTCCAGCGGACTCACGGTCGAAAGGTACTTTAGCTTTAATCTAAAAAACTAATAAAGATATCGAAGTCGGATTTTTTTCAAAATACTTATAATGCCTTAAAATTTCGAAATAATTACAACAATAAACAATAAACAATTTTTTTCGAAAGTTATTAACTTTTTGTTTAAACAATTGCTAATATCTCAAAAAGTATTTTTTTTTTTTGAAAAATTCTTGTTCCTACGTATTCCTGAGGATTTTTGCTATCGTAATCAATCATAAAATTCTCTGTCTCACTTTTGGTCCATCTCTCTCTAGTTCTCTCTCTAGATCTCGCTCTTTTTCCGTGTTTGCTCACGGTTGAAAACAAACGAACCCGCGTGGTCACCTCAGAGGCTCTTTTGACACGCATACGTCGTAATCCGGAAGACTTTTGGTGTCGACTCGTAACTGTAGACAAAACATGGGTACATCACTATACTCTTGAAACCAAAGAACAGTCCAAACAATGGATTACCGCAGGAGAACCAGCCCCAAGAAGGCAAAGACGGTAAAGTCAGTTGGCAAGATTATGGCCACGGTTTTCTGGGATGCGTATGGAATCATCTATATCGACTACTTGGAAAAGGGCCAGACGATCACTAGGCAATATTATGCGTCATTATTAGGTTAGCTGAAAGAAAAAAATCAAAGAAAAACGTCCTCACTTGAACAACAAAAAATGCCTCTTTCTTCAAGACAATGCTCGAGTTCATACGTGTGCAGTTTCGATGGCAAAAATTAACGATTTAAAGTTCGAATTAATT